GCAAGGTTGAGTTGAAGTCCACCCATCTTAAAGTTGCCAAGGTTGAGGAACCCTGCTGTAGAATACTGACTTGAGGTCCATCCTTCTGGACAAATGGGAGAGTCTCTTTCAGGGCATCCCTATGTGTGCTGTTTTCTTAAGGGTACAATTCTAATCTCTCCTCATCTCCCATTTCTTTTCATGGGATTTAATATTAGTTTTCAAGGAACTGACCACACTCCCCTTGAATCCATTAACAGTTTCCAATGAACATTCTTGGTGAGAAAATGACTTTCCTAGTTACTCTAAGTTCAGCCAGGAGGGTTAGTAAATTAATAGCTCTATCTGTGAAGGAAGATTTATTTCTTCTACCAGGTTAAGGTGCTGTTAAGATCAGAACCATTCCTCATGCCTGAGATGGACTCCAGTTTTATAGGGCACAAGGTTCCACATAAACTTTGTTTTATGCCTATGGTGAACTCCAAGATTCATTGTGGTTCCAAATTTCTGTCCAAATCCTTTCCTTTCAAGAGATCATAGTTGGCATAAGCTAGATGTGTGTAGGACCTTAAGAGCTTACATCAGGCACAGCCAAGGGCACAGGAAGACAGAGCATCTGTTCATTTCCTCTTGGGCAGGTGTTCTAGGAAGATGGGTAATAGACTTCTCCATCAGCAGATGGGTTAAGGAATGCATCACATTGGCCTATTCAACTAGCAACAATCAGCTACCCAGGGCTATTATTGCCCACTTGGGCAGAGGAATAACAGCCCTGTCAGCGAGGGCTACCAGGTTAGACGTTTGTGGGTGGTGACATGGTCAGAAGCATCAACCTTCATGAAACATTATAGGAGGACAAGTTTGTATTTACAGAGGCAGCCTTTGAGCGGTCTGTTTCTGAAAAGCTTTCCTTAACTTTTTCTTACTTCCCATTCTTTTCTGATTGGCTCCATCTTCAAGTGCCTGAGAATGGCACTTGGACAAGACTTATGAGGTCATCAGAGATGGACCTGACAGTCCCACATTAGCAAGGACTTCATAAGGGTCTTTACAGATACCCCAGGAAATGTTTATGCTCTTTAATGAATACTGAACCATCTGACTGTTAGGTAGCATATTGCTGATTTACAGCTACATCACTTTCTGTGTAGTTGGATTTTGAGTAATAAAACTTCCTTAGGCATCTTTCAGCTGAAGTCACTTAATGCAATTGAGGGGTGGCAAAAAGTTTAAGATCTGCCTTTTAGTCAGACGCCGTAGACTTAACCCTTCCCCACCAGCAGCCAGATCCATCTTGGGTGAACAGGAAGACCTTCGCAGTAAGTCAAAGTCTATTTTGAATCACGGCTGCACCCAAAAGTGTTTGATCCGTGATTGTAATAGCATCTTGTATGCAGATATGGACAATCTGAATGCCGCTTGCTTCTCCTAGATACGCTTGGGCTTTTCTAACATGGGAAATCCCGATTCTTAATTTAACACCGCTAAAAAATAATAATAATAAAAAAATCCAGACAATTATGTCGCGACCACTAGCTATTGCCGCTCCTCTCGCGCTCAGCAATGGTCCGCGAGGAAAAGCACATCCCGGGGGATCAAGCCCCGTCCCACCACAGCCTTTGCAGCCACGCCTGGTTCGCTCTCCCCCGCCCTGTATTATTGACCCGGAAATCTCCAAGATATTCCCGCTCTCAATCCACCTCCGTCCCCCCCCACGATTTTGCAGCCACGAAATGGTATATTCGAACCAATCAGCAGCCACGTTTTTCCCGGTCCGCCCCCCCCGTCTGCTGAATGGTTTGTCCTCTCCTTAAAAGAGACCGCGTGGTGTGTCTTCGTTCTTTTGCGAGCTTCGTCGCTGCTGTGAGAGTCGTGGGAGGAAGGTGAGAGATTTCACGATGCCCCCGAAAAAGGGTGTGAGTTGCGGGGGTGACTGGTCCTTCCTTTTCTAGGCCTTTTGCGAGCCAACATTCTCCCTGCTGTTTGTGCTTCGCGTGGGCCTGCGGCGCCTCGCGTAGGCCGAGAGCGAGGCTTCAATTTTTTTCCCCCCGTCTTTCTTTTGCCTTCGCGGGGTGATGATGCCGAGATAGGAAGTGCCGTCAGATGCGAAAACTGACGAAAGACTCCTCGCGGCTGACCGCGACATGCCCTTCCCTCCCTTACCCCGCCATTATTTTCTCCCTCCCAAGAGAGGCCTAGCATCAGTCCGGACAGAAAAGGAGAGGAGGGGATAGGTACAGGCTTCCACCCTCACTACAGAAATATTTTAAAAATACTTTCATCTATCTTGTGGATTGTATTGCAGGTTTTCTGCCATTGCCATGTGGAATCCCACCTCAAAAAGCAGTAGGGGATGTCAGTCTGCCTCTTCCGTCTTAAGGGTTGAGCTGCCCAAGAAACAACCAAAGGTAAACATAAAAAAGCCTCTGAAGTTGGGTAGTATGGAATGAAGGCTCACTATGATGATATAAAACCTTATACATGCTGGAATTACCGGCAGACTCTTGCTGTTGAGATGGTTCTTTCTGAGCGGCCTTCGTGAAGGGAAAACTATTGTTTCCCAAACACTTGTGTTACAAGCCTGTCCTCCTTTCTTCAGGGAGCCAGAAGCTGTCCTCCAAGATGAGCAGTTGTGATTGAAATGGCACCCTGGCTGGAAAGATGTAAGTCAAGTGGATGGTCTTTGGCTTGAAAGGGTGTGCACAAAACACATAAGTATTTCAAACCCAGAACAAACCATTATATCAAAAGTTCTGCTAAGAAACCAGCTTTGGTTGTTCTGGATTTTTAGGCAAATAAAAATCTGGACAAGGCAAGATTTTTCCTGACTATCCTATTTGAGAGAAGACACAAGCAGTGAACAAAGTTCCTTGAGATTTGCCCAGAGACTTTTTGTTAGATGTGCACTAATTGTACTGCCCTTGTTCACAGTTAAAATCAGACTGGAGATGAGTTACTAAAGTTGAGAAACGAAAGTAGAAGATCTTAAGAGGTTTAGAAGAGAAGAATATGCTTCCAAGATGCACCTCAGAAGTAGGTATGTATCAAATCCACCCTTTGTGAAGCTGAGACCCATCTGGTACTTTGGGCAATTTGAAAGTAAGCATACTCATACTAAACAAAATCTCTAAATTGGAGTGCTGGAATCATAATGTATTTTGTTTGGGATTGATTTTTGCATCTTATTTTCAAAGGGATATGTGGATAGATATGGGTTTAATTAATTGGCCAAAAATACTGGTTAGGAATATCACCCTTTTCCCTCAAGTGTGTTATAAATGAACATTTACAAACTTCATATAAGAAGCTGTTAGTAATACAAATAAGTAGAAAATGAGTGGAAAGTCCTTTTGATTTGTGCTTAAATGTACTGGTAGGTTGCTAACTAATTTATATGTAAAATCTGTTTCAGGATTGTACAGATATTACTACAACTTGATGCGCTCAAAGACTACTGGAAGTATCCACTTTTCTCTTGAGCGCCTCTGGAGACCTACATATTGGGGCACAGAGAGATTCTGTCCTGCATTATTGTGGAACTAAACTTACAGGCCAACTTCTGTTCTCTTTGTTGTATACAATCACTGAAAGCGCCAAGTTTCAAAATCCCTGTAGATGGCATTCCCTCAGGGAAGGGATCTTTAACAAGCCCTCTTGCACCTCTCCTAAAACAGGCTGTCTCAAAGGTATCCAGGTCCTGAGCCATCTAGGGTTTTAGAAGTGACAACCAGTGCTTTGAATTGTAGCCAGAAGCCAACTGGTTAGCCAGTACAGCTCCTATAATGTGGTTAGGGAGTGTTGAACCTAAATATGCCCCAAATCTATCAGATGCTGTACTAACTGAAGGTTCTGTATGGCCTTCAAGGGCAGCCCTATGAAAAATGAGTCGCCAGGAGGTGTCAAGGAAAGGAGTACCGGTCAATATGCAAATGCACCTTATAGTGAAACTGGTATGTTAAAAGAGAAGCAGACTATTCCAACCATTTCCAGTTTCTCTTCCTTTTCTGTAACCCTTAAGAGTTTTTTTATATACGTATGCCTGTTATATAAGCAACAATTCTGCAGCTGTTTTATATGCAATAAACTTGGTGTAAAAGGCTAAATAAACAAACTCTTCTAGTCTTTTTAAATGCCCATCTTTCTATCCAGGTTATGTGAAAAAAATAACAGCAGCTGAACTGTTCGCATTAATTCAACAAATATAGGCTGCTTGCATACTATTTAAAAACTGAATTTTTAGCTCTGGTTGAAGCCAAAATGGCTAGGTTTGCACATAACACTTGAATAGTTGAAACAAAGTTACATTACAATTAAGCATCATATATGAGCTAAAGAAATTGAAAATTTTAACTTTGCTAACACTACTGTTCTGCCTTGCTGACAATTTTGTATCCCATGTTGGAGATTCAAGTGGATTATGGCAACTCTTCTGCCATTATGTCATGCTTATCAATGTAAGAATTGTGCTTTGAAAGGAGGCTCCCAGGAAGATGGGTTTTTCTTTCCTGAATGTTCCTTCTGTGATTGCTTGGCTCTTGTACCCAGAGGTAGCAAAAAAAGATGGGAGGCATGAAAAAGCTTGGATATTGCTACCTGGTACAAGTAGGCTTTTATTAAGAGGTGCACAAAATATTTATAGGCAGATGCAGTTAAGCTATTGCCTGACTTTAGGGTGAAATTAATCATTGCTTTATAAACACATGCATTGACATGTTTATTCTCTTAATTTTTTCCCTGGAATTTTGACTTGGGCCAGTTTCCTAAAGTTTTGTGGGTGGAGAATATGGGCATTTTTTAAAAAGCCTTTTGCGATATTAGACCAACTCCATGGGAGGAGAAATGAGTCCCAGTTGCAAATTTTGAGTTGCTTTACATCTTATGGTTCCTGCTTTTCTGATCATATTGCGACTGAGGGTTTAGCCAGCATGTTACTTTTATTCTGGCAGGAAGCACTTTGACAATACCAGTGCCTTATTTTATCTCCCCTTTTAAGAAAATTCACATATTTTAATGTACAGACTGATTGTGTGATATAAATTGCAAAGAAGCCAAGCAAACTTTAACCAAGCCTCTTGGGAAGCCCTCAAACTGTTTTGAATAAATGGGTTGAAGTGACCATGGGTAAGAGCTTGATGGAAGGTGTAACTACATTACTACCTGTATATGCATGATTACGCTTGGTACTTTTCCTCCCTGTATAATTCAACACAATGATTCCCAGCCCAATTCAGCACTTGCACAAGACTCTGTAGCTTCCCGTTCCCCCAACATGCATTTTCGCCAGGAGAAACAACTATCTTTCAAACAAGTTTTATTTGTTGACAAAGCATATAAAAGGCATTGGCTACATGCAAACTAGGACAATAAGGAGCTGTGGATGTCTATGAAGTACCAGATTGACCCTATTGAAGAACATGCATGAAAGAAAATGGGCACAATAGCCAACTTTGCAGTAGGGCTTTAGGGAAAAAGATCAAATTGGTCAGATCCTTTTGGTTATGAAGAGACATCCCCCCTCATCCCTAAGGCAGACTAATATGGCAGAGCCAACTCAAAGTATCAGTCATTACCAGGTGCTCCCCAAACCTATCAGGATGAAGTGCTTTTGATGTACCAAAACTACAGCATTGAAAGCTCACAAGGAAATGGATGAGAGAGTTAACTTGGGTAAGACTCTTCATGGGTAATTCAGAAAAGCAACAAAGCCAGTATTTACCTCATGATGATCAAGTGCTGCAAAATATTGCTGACTAAAGCTCCCCCAAGCATTTAATGAATCCAGGTATCCAAGAACATTAGGAAAAGTTGAGACTATTAAGCTGAATTTCATAGATTCTACTGTCTCTTCTGTGTCACAGTGATGAAAATCCAGAGTAACTGAAAGCAGCTGTACATACTTTTTCCACAAAGTCTGTATAATAAATTACAGCAACTTTACACAACTGCAACAAATGCACGGAACGGCCATCGCTCACTTGCTTCGTTCTCTGGTGCCTAGAGCAAGGGCTTGTTCAGCAGAAAAGGCATCGCCCACCAGGAAGGCACATGTTTTTAAGTACCACTGATTCACGCCCATTGAAACGGAAAGGAATGAGATGTTTTTCATTTGTACTGTTTGCTTTATGGACCGATCTAATCTACTCCATCGTCCACCAACACATAGTGTCTTGCTTGTCCTGTTAAGTGGCTAGACTTGTGTAGAGTGGAGTGGTAGAAGAAAAAAATTACACAGCTGTTGCCAGTGGGTTTTCCTCTTATTTCATTCTAGAGGGAGTAAGAGTTCAGAGGGTACAATTTTTTCAGCCCTGCTGGCTCACACTGTTGTCTTCTATGAATTACATTTGAAAACCAACAGTCTTGTAGCACCTTAAGATTTTACAAATAAAACTCATGGACTACAACCAAATTCATCAGATTCATGGCATGTTGTCCTGAGACCGGAACTTATACGCATCCATGGCTTATTTGGGGCAGGAGACAGTAAATGGGTTGGAAGAAATTGAAATGCAGAAGGTACAGTAGTGATGACTACCTTCTTGGCAGCGGTTATTCCTAAAACAGTGAGACATTCAAACTTGTTTTGATGAGTTGATTAACACGTCTCTGTTTAATCCATGGGATTAATTTTTTTTCTATCCAGGCATGGAATTTTCCCCCTAAAACTTCTATTCAAAATAATTCATTTGGAAAGTAAAAACTCTAATGAGTGCAGGATTATCTGTATACCTAATATGAAAATTCTGATTAGTGTATTCAACTAGAAATTGTTTAACCTGAAAAAAAAACAGGCTCGATAGTGGCATTGCATTTTCTTTTGTGTCTCTCATGCTCTCAAACCAAAGAGTCAATTAGTAATCATATTTGTGGTAATTACAAGGTCTCAGGAATTAAAGGGATGCTTTAATTTGGATACTGCACTGAGCAACTTGTTGGACATGATGGCCTCAATAACCCCTTCCAATATAATTCCATATAATGGTACAAATCATAGCACATCATTAATATGTGAATTGCAGCCAATTTTGTCTGCAATTCAGTCTCCTCTTTTTGGCCCTGCAAGTTAAGGAATTAAAGAATTTATTACAAGAGAGCTTCATCAGCATAAACTAGCCAAGATTCTTTGTTGTTATAAAGGGATCCATTTGGCACATCCTGGGCGAGTGAGAGGCAACTGTATTTCATGTTTGAAACAACCCAGTAGAAATCTGTTCTTGATTTGTAGATTCATTTGGCAGCAGCTTAACCTCAATAGCTTCACCTGTCCATACCTGCCTGGCCTTAGTGTCATCCAGGGCACCATCATTTTGGTCTTCATCCTGTGACGAAAGACCTTCTTGGCTCTCAAGGTCACTCACCTGACCTTCACCAAACTCAAGAATAGTTGGGAGATTGCTTTGGGTAGGGCTTCGTTTCTTAAGGCTGACCAGAAAAGGCTGTGGCAGAGAGAATATGTCCACATTATTGCCCAGATCAATCCAAGTCATACTGGGGAAATTTCTGGTGTCCTTCAGAGCTTCAGTCAGGTCCCGGAGGATGGCCTTTGTCAGCCTGTTGCCATTAAGGGAAAGAGTTGTGAGGTGAGGTAGGGCACTGAGAACTGGCAAAAGCTGGAGGAACATCTCATCTGTCAGCTCTGTGAAGCAAAGCTCCACATTTTCAATATACTCAGAGCTGTGCTGGAGGTATGAGATAACCCTGTCTAGTTCCTTTAGAGTCAAAGGGATGCCAGACAAGTCCACTGTGTTGTCCAGAGGATTCCCCACCAAGATCGTTTTCAAACTGCAAAAGAACAAAAAAGGTAAGCTTTTTGATCCATCTCCAGTTTATTTATCAGCTCTAAAAGTTGTCAATTCTGTCTGTGGGAAAATGATTCTGACAACACTTAATAATAATTCATACGGGAAAAAATGGAATACTGTAAATCCATCATGTTTCTAAGAGAGATTGCAGGCAATTTTGTTAATATATAATACTCAATGACTACATTCACACAATAGGCTTAATTTGATCACCAGCCCATTTTGGGGGTTTGCACAATACACTGTGCCATTAAGTAAACAGGCTGGATTTGCACCATATGCCAACCCATTAATACAAAGCAACATTAAAATTAACCATGCTTACAATGTTATGTAAATAACAGTCATTTGGTCTTTTTTTGGGAACATTTGTTCTGTGAACACAATATTTATATAACAGGCAGCCCACATATCCAAAGCTGTTCCTATATATAATCTCTCTTATGCAGACACATAATAAACATGGAGGGTGGAAAGAGGTTGAATATGAGAAAGATCAGACAAAACCATACCATCCTGGGAAGTCATTATTTAACAAAATTCATACCAACAGGGCATACCAAAACACACGAAGCTTATGAGGTGTCAGGTTCAGCCCAAGAACAACAATGAGGCAATCCAGTACAGTTCAGTTCCCTTATTAGCTTGCACCTAATAGACAGAATCTCACCAGACTAAAGCAACCAGTGGATATACCCCGTGAGACTCTAGGGAGGGGCCAGCCTCATCCTCTTCGTCTTCCCACACTCTTGTTGTGGGCTGAGGAGGTGCTTGCTCTGGAATGCCTCTCCCCCCTCCTGACAACCTTCCCCGCTCATGCCATCCATTACATAGGTAGTGGCCTCTGTTTAAAATAGAGAACCATCCAAGGAAAGCCGCTTATGTCTCTAATGCTCTTAGCTGGCATCTGACAACATATAGCTTAACAGAGGCAGCAGGGGAGGCACAGGGTAGGGTCAGGATTTTTTTTTTTAATCCGTTCAATCATGTCCGATTCTTGGAGACTGCCTGGACAAGTCCCTGCAGTTTTCTTGGCAAGGTTTTTTCAGAAGTGGTTTGCCATCGCTTCCTTCCTAGGGCTGAGAGAGAGTGACTGGCCCAAGTCACCCAGCTGGCTTTATGCCTAGGTGGGACTAGAACTCACGGTCTTCTAGTTTCTAGTCTGATGCCTTAACCACTATTCCAGAATTACTTAAGGCTAAGAAGGATCCAGCAAAAGGGATGGCACTGAACTATGTTTTGCCTTGAAAAGACAGGTGAGATAGGATACCGATGTCAAATACTTGAAGGGGTGATACTTGAAGTTCAAAATATCTCTTATCATCCAAGAGTGCAGGACACACAATAAGGGCTTGCTTATGGTAGCTTTCCATAAAATGTTAAGAAGAACTTCAGGGAGCAGTTTCAACAGGAGAACCAGTCACCAAACAAAACAGTGAGGTCCCATCACTGAATATCCAAGCATAGTCCAGACAGATATTTGTAGAGAATGCTTCATTTTGGATTTCTGCCTTGAGCAATAGGGTGGGACACAGTGGTCCAATTCTATGAATAAGGGAGTGCAAGGTTTGCTGAGACTATTTCCCTTGTCTTCTCCTGGCAACCCTCTTTCTCCTGTTATTTTAGCATAACCTTATTTTAGCATAACCTTTTATTGATTCATGAAATCTGAAATTACCACCATCAAACAGCCCAAGGAGTATGAAATCATCTAGATGTTTTTTTCATATAGAGTACTCACACATATGGGCTGGCACAGAGCTCCCTTCCTGGGGGCGGGGGGAGAAACCTTAGCGAATAGGAGTGAAACCACTGCATTGCAACAAGGTGAGGATCATAAAACATCATTCTGCTTGCAGAAGCAGCAATTCAGAAATGCAAATAGAGTACATCAAGAGAAAACGTTATGAAAACCTCTCTAGAATCTTCAACCGATATCAGCAGGGGACCTTCAAGTGCAGGAAACACAACAACATGGGGAAGAAGACCGACTACAGTGTTCTGATTCATAACACATTTCCACAAAGTTTTACCAGCGCTTTTTGGAGGGTTCAGTTTAGACGGCTTTTAGTAAATATGCCCAGAGACCTAGTTAATAGGAGCAAAACCTCATTTTACTTGTCTTTTCACTGCCTGAGACTCCCATCCCTTGCACCTTATATCCTAGCTTTAAATAAGGTACCAAACTGACTTGCAATAAAAATGATCATAATGGAATAACCAATAGAATAAAAAATTTAAAAGATCAATAAAAACACTGTACAAACAGTCTACCTAAAATAGATTTAAAACTAAGGAAAATGGAGGTGGTAGAGAAAAGTTATTTGAATGGCACAGAAAAACCCAGTAAGATGCCAGATATATTTCTCTAGGAAGAAACTGAGTTTGCACAATAATCTGAACCACAAGAGGATTTCAGCCTGCTATGTAGTGTGGACTAAGGCAAAGGAAAAACTCCCAAAATTGATTTGAGAAAACTGTGTTAAATTATTATGGATTAGCATGTTGTGAGAACACATAGTACCACCATTAATATGGTCTTTATCCTATTACCATTCTAGAGGAAGAATCCTACAAACTATTACAGTAACTTCCTCTAACTTCTATCCCTTTTACTGTTTCAAATTCCCATCATCCCTGAGATGGACTGATAGGTTTTGTAATCAATAGCATCTAGATTGGTGTTTCTCAAGCTTGGCAGTTTGAAGATGTACGGACTTCAACTCCCAGAATTCCCCAGCC